GCGCGCCCCTGCTTCCGCAAGACATTCCCGTGGGGCGCGGAGCGAAACCTCGCGGCGGGGGGAGGGGAGTCCGCCGCCCCTACTTCTGCGCCACAATGGTATCGCCTCCGCCGCGGCGTGGACTCGACCCGGCGGCGGACTCGGCGTCGCTCGGCGGCTGGAAGGCGGGGCCCGGCGCGGGCCGTACCACTGGGAGGGGGAACGCCAGAGGCGGACGGGCCGGGCCGAGGCGTCCTGAGTGTGTCAGGGCCTCACGGCAGGGAGGGTCACAGCAGCCTCTCAAATAAGCTGCTTTCCGGGAGAGGCGGATTCAGAAAAGAGAAATTCGTCTCCTCCGTGATCACCCCCAAATTGTGTGGGAGTGAGTTGGGTCCCCGTGGCTGTTCCTGATTGGTGGTGATAGAATTACGCGGACCAATAAGAAAAAGAAGGGAAATTTGCGGGCCTATAGGAAGAGAGAAGGTGTGAGCGGTTGCTAGGGGGAGGAAGGCAGCGTTGCCTAGGGCTAAGTCCGGCCCCTGCGAGCCGAGTGGGAAGGCGCAGTCCAGGGCGGGTGGTGAGTGTATGTTGTGGGGGGTCATTTGCTGCGCCCCGAGGTGGAGGCAAGGCGCCATGTGTGCCAGGGAGCCAGGAGCACACTGATCTTTAATTCCAGCTAATCTTGGGGTGGGAATGTTCTGTGCAAGGGGCTTGACTTCAGCTCTGCGTGCCTGCACCCTTACACTGCCTGCAGCTTTCCTGTCCCCCCCGTATTGTTCAGTCCTGGGCCACAGCCGCAGGATCTCAGCCCTGAACTCAGTTTGTCTCCTTCACGGCCAGCGCAGTCCATTCATTGACAGAATGGAGCTAATACACCCCTTTTTGTCTCGCATTTTCCTCCAATCAGCTTATCTTGTAATCTGAAGACTAACTCGGGTCTCCTGTCACCACTAAAGGCCAATAAAGGAGAGCTAAGAATTGATCTTTAAGGTGTGCTTTAATCAGAAAGGTGGGCAGTCTGGGAAACTGGGGATTAGCACCCCAAAGAACCACCTTAACATTTCACTTCCAATTTATATTGAGTTGAACACAGACAGTTGTTCAGCAGTAAGCAGGCCTTTGCCGCTGCCAAGAGCTTGTGGCATGTAGCTCCCAGAGCTCCCTATAGCTCCCTATAGCTAGGGCCTCGGGCCCTAGCTCTTCCCAGCATGCTGAGGCTGTCTTCAGATAGCACTGGCTCCTCGCACTGCTCTATATGCGGCTGGAAATGAACTGAGAGCACACCGACCATAAACAATTGTGCAGATTTCCTACTATCGCATGCATTGCAGCTTCCCCGGTCCCGCCTTCCTAGCCTCTGTCAGTTTAACTTCCAGTCACCAAAGTCTGTGAGTTGATGGTGCTCTCCTCATTTTGCAGAGTGGGACAATTGAGGCTCAGGGCTTTAACAGGTTCTATCCTGGAAATGACGCCAGCTCTGTCTGATGAAATTCGCCAGCTGCTGGTCTCTGCCCATTGATCTGAGTTGTCATCAGGTGTTCCCCACCGCCACCTATAGCTTTCTAGTGACCACATGCAATGGTCAGCTTTCAGTTCTTCCCCCGATCTCTCTCCCCCCTCCTTAGAAGTCACCTTCCCAGGCTGCTTTCTCTCGGCTACACATGTGTGCCGGAATCTGGCCATTCTTGTATTTCCGTCGGTGCCCACACCAGTTCTGTTCATGTTTCCTGTAAAAGCCACTGTGCTTCTGTGGGCTCAATACACACGCTTCCCCCCAAACCCCCATTTGCTGGTCTTTAGCTGGGATCTCTCCTGCTTTAAACCATTTCGGTGTCCTTAATCCCCTACCTCACACCAGCTCCAGAAACCATGTATCAGGCTTACATGGCCCCGCATCCAAACTAATAATGAACTCATTTAATTATTTGTCTAAAAATGTGTATCTGCCTGTCCTAGGAACGTGCAATGCCAGCGAACAAAAAAGGAAAGCTGTTTCTGTGATGTTTCACCCCGGTAGACATGACAGCCAGTGCACAATGTACATCACATAGAATTAGCCGATGCAGTGGCAGGTAGCAGGAGCTTTGGGGAAGGCAGGCAGGAGAGGAGTCAGAAGCATGGGGGATGCGAAACAAGTTGCAGCACCCGCGGGAAGGTGGCACTTGCACAGACTGGGGGAAGCTAGGGTGTAAGCCACGTGCATGTCTGAGTGTGTGGTGGCAGGTCGGGACGGGCTAGGCCCGGTGTGTTGGAGGAGGTGCGTGTGACTGACAGCAAACAGCAGAAGGGTGAGTCACGGGAGAGGGAGCAGGGCTGGGGTGTTGGTCCCTACAGGACTGGGGCGGTTTAGCGACGCCACAGGGAGGCCCTGGAGCTGCAGAGCAGAGGAGCGTGGTATAGCAGGCTGTCCGGGCGTCTCCGGGGCCTCCTCAGCTCCTGTGCTGGGCGAGACTGTAGTACCTGGCAGATGCGGGAAAACAGCAAGCAGGCTCTTACAGACCTGGGAGCGGTGTTCTGTCCACTCTGCCTTGGGAGCGTCTTGACACAGTGGTTTACTTGAGCAAAAATGAATCCTGCGGCAGCACTGCAGCAGGAGCGCTGAGGACCGGAGCAGCGTGCGAGGCTCACTGCGAGGGAGCAGGAACAAGGAAGTGACGGGGCGAAACCACAGAGGGCGCAGGCAAGGCCACTTTCACTTGGGGAGACCGGGGCCTCCCGGGCAGGTGGCCGCCCAGTGCGCTGGAGTCCATTCCTGCGGGCTGACGAGTGAGTCCTGCTCTGGGAAGCTGAATTACAGGGAAGCCTAGGGCTTAGCTTCGGTGACTCCATTTTGGGCTTGTTGTCTCGTTTTTTAGCCCCCTGAATGGATAAACAAAATATAATATGTGCCCTTGTGGTGCAGTACTACTTAGCTATCAACAGGCATGAAGTACTGATCCACACTACAGCACCGAGCAGCCCTGCAATCCTGAGGCTGAGTGCAAGAAGCCAGGCATCGCAGCAGGCCTCGCCTGTCTCGTCTGCTTCTTCCCTTCGCCCCGAATCTCACTAAATCCACTTGATCTCCAGACCCCGTTCTATCATTCTATTCATGTCAAATATCCACGATACTCGAGTCCACGTAGAAAGTAGCTAGTGGCTGCCAGGGTGGGGTGGGGAGTGGGTCACAGGTTTCATCTGGGGGCTATAAAAATGATCTGGAATAGACATTGTAAATGTGTAATATTGTAAATACGCCTCAGCCACCATCCAGGAGGCCAGTCTGCGAGCCGTGGAGTCCAAGAAAGCAGAACTGGTAATGATTTGCGTTTTCACTTGTGCTGAGACCAGAAGACAGTAGATGCACTGAGTGCTAACATTTGTCCAGAGCAGGAAAACAGTTGCTGAGTGAAAAAATTAAGTGACAAGGTGATAGGACTCGAGCTGACTTGTCTCAAGGAAAAGCTTTTAAAACACTGGTGGGAGAACAAGAACTGGACGCGACACAGTGAGCGGGGCCGGCCTCTCTCCCTGCCCCCTCAGATGGCATTCCTCTCTGCTGCAGCTCACAAGTTTGTCTTCGTGCATTCTGCACAGACAAACAAGGGACATCCCTAAAATAATAAAAAAATTAAACATCTGAGGACGGTAAGTGTCAGGTGTTAACAAAGCATGCGGGCATCACCTGAAATCTCCCTATGCCCATGTCAAAGGGACATGGCAACACTCGCCCAGTTCCCTTTTGTTTTACCCCTTTGCACAAACACCCTGCACCCTGCCACAGAGCAGGACAGTGGTCTGCCACCCTCCTCCGCTGGTCAGCAAACTGCTTTCCTCCTCAAACTCTGTTTTCTCATACTGGCTGAGGAAAACTGAGGCCGGCGTTGGTTATCAGAGAGACCGGGAGCAGCAGAGGTCCTGTCCTCTCTGCCACAACCTCACAGCTTGAACTTGCCCTGGCCGGTCCCAAGACACAGCGCTTTCTCCTGCCTTGCAGGGGACCTCCAGCCACCGCCCAGC